GTTTAGGTAGGCAGTTAATTTACCTGTAAAACACCTTTGTTTTGTTTTTTGAGTTTTAAAACTTTGTTAAAGTGGGTCTAAAGTAGCCTGCATTCTGGGAGTCCTTGAGGTGACTTTTCTGGGGTCCCTACTGATCACCTGAGATGTTTAATGTGGTTTCTCCACTTTGCTCAGTGTTTAATAATTCCCACCCAGTAAAAGCTATGGCAACCATTAAGCTTATAGCTTTTTGGCAGTTAGTTATTTTGTCCCCACTAGATGCTCTTTGCCCAGCCTCTTGGAGTCTCGACCTATACCTACAGAGTTCAGCTGATCTCCTTGAAGATTTATGGAGCTCCTTCTTGGCAGAGCTTGCTCCTTTCTCTGCCTTACAAATTCCAGTCATGTCAGTCACTCCAAACTATATTTTCTCATCTAATAAAGACTACTGTGATCTGATTGTCCCCTCTCCTTCTTGTAATGGGGTCCAGTAAATGCCTCCAGGGAGAAAGTCAGAGATGGTTGAGTTCACTTCATTTGTCCTTTCTTTTGGGAATCACAGTCGTGCAGTTCCACTTTTTCAGTATCTGAAAACTCTGTGTATTTATTTTATTGATTCTTTGGATTCTTTTGAATGAATTAATTTCAAATGTTAAGCATTCAGGATAATAATACATAATACAGAGCTTAATTTTTAAAAACAGTTTTAAAAAATTTCTTCCAACATATGTAAATATAGAAACAACATATGGATATATAGTAACTGTATTAAAATAGGAAATTTTGGACTGGGAGGATACAAAGTAAGCTCTAACTACCAGCCCATCTCCTCCATATTGGAAAGATAGGAAATTCTCCTTTATTTTTTAAGAAAAAAATAGAACGTGTATTTTTACATTTATTTCACGATTAGTATTCCAGAATCATGCTGCCGGTTTTGAATATCTCACAAATGGTGAGACACAGGTAGGCACCATTGGATGACATGGAAGGTTGGTTCCTGGAATCCTAACACTCTTGGGGCTTCTGAGGGACCTTCACAGGGCAGACCAAAAAGAATCAGGACTAAGACATTCCTAAACAAATGTTAATTAAGCTCCTACTGTGGATGATACTCAGTGCTTAGAGCTTTGATGTAATGCTTTTGAATCTTCAGCACACTTTCAAACACAGAACCTTCTTAGATGTATTTTAGACCTATAGATTGTCTTATTCGCCCCATGTTCTAGGTACTTAACCTTAGTACTTACTGTTTCCTCAACTGCAAGATAGAACTAACAAGATCTGTGGAAGCAAAGTGATTTATGTAAAGAGTTAAGTGTGCTTTATGGCGTATATTAAGAAGCCAAGAAATGTTGGATGCTGCTGTCACTTCTGTTTACTAGACATGGTTCTGGTCACAGGGTGAGAGGGTGTTTGGAAAACAGCAGCTCCAATGTTTGAGGCGCTCTCTGAGATGCATAACCTGAGAGAATCATAATCTAAGAATCTCAACGACGTCGGAGAAAGGAGGACTTTCTAAATCGAAAAGAAACCGGTCCTAGCCAAGTATTTTTCAATTAGGTTGCATCCCAAGAATCTCAGTTCACATTTTCCCTGCCAAGAACAAGGCTGGGTAAGAGGCTGAGGGAATTAGGGAGCATGGCTTGACTTGGCGGAGCTCTGGAGAAGAGCCAGAAGGAGGGGCCCTGGGAAGGAGGGGCCTGGCGGAAGGCCGGCAGAGGCGGGGCGCGGGGCGGGGCGTCGAGCGGGCCGCGGGGCGGGCATAGGGGCGGGGCCGTCTACAGTGACAGCAGGAGAGGGCTGGAGCAGAAGAGTTTGTTTTCTAGAAGAGCCAGCTGCTTTCAGAGCCATGCTAACCAAGGTGGTCTCTCTGGCGACCGCCTTCTGGGCAGGGCTCCATGCCGGGACTTTGCTGGTGGGTGCTGTCGTCTTTCTGTTGTTTGCTGACTTCAAAAGGCGGCGCCCAAAGAACTACCCGCCAGGGCCCTGGCCTCTACCTGTGTTTGGCAACTTCTTTCAAGTGAACTTTGAGAATTCACACTTGGATGTTCAAAAGGTAGGAAGGGGCAAAGGTGCTTGACTGCATCCATATGCTAACCCTGACTTGCAGGACAAGGGACTTTCTGGGGACCCGGGGCAAGAGGATGGGTGGCTGGGCAGCTCATGCTGCTAACCTGCTAAGTCCCACTTTGAGCTTTGTTTACCTTACCAGACATATGGCATCATTCTACATACCTGCCCTTTCTAGTGGCGCAGCAGATTTAAATGTTTACTTTCTAAGTGTGCTACCTAGGTTACCTTTCTTAACTCATTTGTTTTCTTCTTAAACATTATTGAAATCCTTTTTTTTCTTGTAATGTCCTTCTTTATCCCTGGTAATTTTCTTTGACCTAACTTTATTTGATATAATATAGCCATATCAGCTGTCTTTTGATTATTATGTGAGTAGTATTTGCTTCTTTATTGTCTTACTTTTAACCCACTTTTTATAATCATATTTGAAATGAATTCTTGTAGACAACAGATACTTGGTTGATTTTTTAAAAATTATGCCTATCTCTGTCCTTAAATAGGTGAAGGTAGGACATTTCTACTTAATATATTCATTGCTGTGTTAGTGTTTAAGTCTACCATTTATTATTCTTTCCCTCGGTCGTTTGTTTGTTGCTCTGTTTTTCATTCCTGTTTCCCTTTCCTGTCTTTCTGGGAACTACTTGGACACTTCTCTTATCAGTCAACTTTTATTCATCTGTAGTGTTTTGAAGCCTATCTCTTTTTAAATGTGGTTGCTCTAAATATTATGAGCAATATTAGTAGTTTGACGGAGTCCACCAGTGCAAGAATTTTCCACTTCGTGAAAGATAGACATAACAATTTAGGACCCCTGACCTTCACACTTTATAAATGTTTTAAACATTATATCTACATGCACTGAGAACCACAATATTATAATTTTGCTTTTAAATGTCAGATGCAATTTTTTAAAAGCAAGAACAGTCTATTGTACTTTTCCATTTATTTACACAATTTGTTGCTTTTTCTTCATTTCTCTTGTTCCAACTTTATAATTTCCTTTATGATGTGAAGAACTTTCCTTAGCTATTCTTTCAGAGCTGGGTTGCAGGCAAATAATTCTCTTAACTTTCTTTCATCTCAAAATATGTTTATTTCACCTTCCTTTCTGAAGTCTATTTTCAATGGACCTAGAATTCTAGGTTGGGAGTTTCTTGGAGGAACAGGTTTCTTGGAAAATAGAAGCAGAAGGGAGGTACCCCAGGAATAAGATAACTTCTGCCTTTCTTCAGAGGTAGAAGTCAAAGGTCTTCCCACATCTGTACCATAGGGAAGAGTAATTCCTTATCACTGTAGGAGAAGGTGGAGATTAGAACTATGTCCTGTAGAGAGTCCTTACTGGAGTTCAGGGGTGAAAGTCACAATTCTGCAGAGATAGGACATAAGGAGAGGGAGAAAGATGAGGTTGTACCATGCTTTCCACTGCAGCAACACCTTTCAGGGGCAAGGAAGGCCACATCCTCATGATGTTTGCCTCCAGGACAGAGAATTAGAAGACTCAAATGTTTCTGTCCTGTTGGGCTCCTCTTTTCCTAGTCTTTTGGCTAAAGGTAGTAGGATTTTCTTGGAGTTTTGTCTGTGATAATTGGTCTAGATTAAGAAGTTTGATCTATGTCCTTCTTTTTCTATTAGGATAGATGGGACTAGAGAAGTTAAATGATTATCCTAATATCACAGAACTGGCTAGTAATGAGCTGTAATCCCATCTACTCATAAGAAGGATTGCAAGTTTGAGACCAACCTGGGCAATTTCAGTGAGACTCTGTCTCAAAATAAAATATAAAAAAGGATGGAGATGTGGCCGGTGGTAGAGTTCCTCAGGGATTAATTCTCAGTACCACAAAACCAAACCAAAACTCTAGCCAGTTGATGAAACTGAGACTAGGATCTTATTCCCAGTCCAATGATTTTTTAAAATCTCAATTTAGTTTTTATTTTATTTAGGTTTGCATTTTTATATTTCTGATGTAAAGCAAATAAAATTAAATGGCATAATTTAGTAATAATACTATCAAATTTATCTTCATGCACTTGGGAAACATTAAATATTAAGGTCTTTTTTCCACATTTTTTATTGATAGATTATATAGTTGTATATATAATAGAACCTGATAGGTCTTGTGTCAGAATTTTTATGTTCCTCTTGTTTAAATTTCATGATAGGTATAAATTTTAGGTACCATCTAGTGGCATTTCCATTTTATCACTGAGAAAACTGAGAACAAATGTATTGTGATTTTCCCAGGTTATTCAGAGGATACTGGCAAAGCAAGGTCTTGAATCCAAGAATATTTGACTTAAAACTATTGTCTCCTATACTACTTGACTCTGCATGATGTTAGTAGAGAATAATTGATTTTTCATGACATAGTTATGAGCTATTTATTTGTATATGTATTTCTTCAACAAACATTTATTAAGTACTTACCATGCCAGGCATAGCCCAAGACAGTGTCTGATGAAGAGAGTTTTACAAACTCCCATAACCCAAATGGATACTAGAAAATGGGATCACAATGGATGGGAAATCCTGAAGATAACTTTTGTGGAATGTTGGAATTAATTGGATTGAATTTTAAAGGAATTTCTGGCAGGTGAATGGATTAAAATGATAGGATATTTTAAATGGGGATGTGGCATGAATTAAAACATAGTAAAGAGGCCTTGAAGAAACTGGCTTGTGTGTGTGGCATGTGGGGAACTTTGCTTTCCCTGCCCCTCACACTTTGTAAACTTTCCCCATCACTGCTAGATGGCTTATTATAATAACCTGTATTTAAATGAAAGAAAGTCTTATTGGGCTAAGTGGAAGAATTGTACATAAGATGGGTCAATTTATTAGTTAGCATGCACAGCAAGCTGCTTATAACAAAGAGACCCAAGATACAATGGTGTCAACAAGATTGAAATTTCTTTCTCTCTTACAAAAGAGTTCAGATATAGGCAGGAAGTCCAGGATAGAGATGCTGTTCTGTACCACAGTGTCATCCAAAATCTCCAGTTCCTTATGATATTGCTCTGGTCCTTCACCACCACAATCATATGTGGGTTCTGGCTCATGAGAAGGGGAAATGGAGGTGGTGAGCAAGCAGCTTTCATTTAAGGCTTTGACCCAGAAGATGCACACATAACCACTACTCACATCCCACTGGTTACACCTAGTGAGGCTGAGAGATATAATTATGATGCCAGCTAAAACCTAGGCAGCTCCATCACTCAGAGGAACAGAAAGAAAATATCTTTATCCCTTCATTGAAGGATGAGGCCTACAGAGGGGACTGTAAAGCACCCAAACTTTATTTCCACTAGCTATGTGCTAAATTTCTGTGCCTCTTTTTTTTTCTGAAAACTAGGTATACTTTGTGGGATCATTATAAGTATAAAATAAGTTTATGAATATCAAGTTTTGCCAGGATGCCTAGCATGTAGATGTGCTTATTTCTATATTTCTATATTTTTTATTCTTCCCTTTTCTGTAATAGCTTATAGAAAAGCCAGTTTTTGGTTACAGGCTGGGCATCGTTTATATGTCCTGGTTGCTGGATGAGTCCCATCAGCCCCCTCTCTGGTCTCTGTCCTTGCATTCCTTAGATGATGCCATTATGAGAGCCCTCTTCCTAAATTATACTCCCTGAAATATTAGTAGTAATAGTTTTCATTATTCATTTTATTATTATGGTTACTCATCATAATAATCCTAAAGATAGGAACTAGTAATGTTCCCTATTTTATAGAAATAGAAACCAAAACACAGAGAAGTTAAATAATTTATCCCCAAATTACACATGAAATAAGAAGCAGATCTGGATTCAAACAGGTTGTGTGACTCCTAAATCCAGACTCTTAATGCACTTCACCTCTCCTACTCAGATATTTCCAGGCTCTGTTATCTGTTACCAAGTAAGATCCAAATATTTCACTCCTGGGTCTAAAGATTACCAC